GAAGCTCACCTGCTTAGTTGTTCTCAAGGATCATCTGCAGCAATTCAAACTTCTACCAAAGGAAGGCCCCCCTGAACCCTGAACAAAACCTAATTCCTGAACATCTTAAACTTCACCAACATACTGTAACATACTGGATTGCTAGGCTTTCCCAGATGACGCCATGCGCCTGGCTATGTACTCCGCGCTAACAAAGGCCATTATTGTGGAGGGGTCCTTGCCCAGATTAGGGTTCAGGGTTTAGGGTGTAGGGTCTAGGGTTTAGGACGTGTAGGTTGTCAGAGACATGGTCCTTGTTGGGTGTGCCCCATATACGAGGGGCCACCTTATACTTGATCCAGGATTGTACGGCATTTGTGGGAGTCTGCCAATGGGATTAGAATTTGCAGACATTGTCCCCTGAATTTTCAGTTCAGAGGTGAAGGATGCAGGGCTTAGGGTCTAGGATCTAGGGTTTTTGGCTTAAGATGCGTGAGTTAAGGGTGTAGGCAGGCTTTTTAAGGGCCGGGTCGGAGCAGAGAGTAGAAGGACTTTTCTCAGGCTGAATAGGCTCTACCTTCTCAGGATCAACCCTAGCTCTGCAGCCATTGCGAAGCAGCTTGTGTCATAGTAGGGTGTATTCATTCTGCCGCCTGCCACTTACCTCGGTCCGCAACCCTGACCTTCCCACAATAAATCCCGAACCCTAAGCCCTAGACTCAGCACCAAGAGTCCGCAACCCTAAGCCCAAATCAGCTTTGAAACCAAAATCCTAGGGGGAGATATTGAGGAGTTCTTGGTCATCACTACCCCTTATGCGCGCCTCCTTAGGGATTGCAAGGACAATCATCATTCGCGCACAGTATTGGTGCAGTTCTATCTTTGCCAGCCCTGAGAGTCCTAACCCTTGCAGCTTGTTGTCTAACTCTTCACACACCACCCTTCCGCGACTGCTTTGTCCAGGTGTTCCACCATGCATTAGAGCTTCCTGTCAGGTTAAAGGATCCAATATGGGCCGCCCTCTCACTGTGCGTAGAGTCCCCTCTTCAGGACCTATGCTAAAGGGACTGGTGCAAACCCTAAACCTGTCAAGTCACCTAAGCACCCACACCGCCCTAACCTCGCAAAGCCCCCAAATCCCCCAACCCTCCCAAAAGCTTGTTCTGCAGGCTATTCTGGGAGCAGAAGCCGAGCTTGATGACGCAGAGCTCAAAAGGCTAGTGGGTCATCGATGAGTGCCTAGGGCTTAAGGTGTTGGGTTTTGGTTTGAGGGCCTAGATGTAGGGTTTTAGATTCAGGGTGTAGGGCTTAGGGTTTAGGGCTTAGGGCTCAGGCCTTTTAGCAGGTGGGGTCCGAACTTTCTGCTGTGGGGAGGATGTTGTTATATGCTTGGCAATTTGCTGCAAACCCCGACCTACATCCAAAATGGCAACGCATTGGCTTCAAGCTATCTTCCTGAACCCCTCTATGTTCAGGATTTAGGGGTTTAGGGTTTGGGATGTAGGGTTTAGGGTTTAGATTCTACATGCCTCAAATTTTTGGGCCTCAACACTGGACGATGCATGTTGTGGTGCTTATCAGGACAGGAATGTCGGAGCCTAACTAGGGATATGTGGGGTTTCGGGTTAAGTGCTGTGGGGCGTAAAGGATGCCATGATGGATGAAAGGAAAAAGAAAACGGAATGTGGAATGGATGCTGGGTTTACATAAGGGATTTTAGGGATACTTGCCAGTGTGATGGTCCTAGGCGCTTTTATACTTATGGTCCTTATGGTATGGGGCATTTCAAATGGACCTCAAGATATCTTCGTAAATAATTACTTAGGGCCTCTGAGCCCTAAACTCCCTAGACTCCCCAAACTCCCTAAACTCCCTAAACCGCCTAAACGCTCAACTCCCTTAACCCGGAGTCCCTCTTAGGCTTGGGTTGGCTTTGTTCGTTATCATGTGTTTCTTAAGAGTGGGGTCTCACTCTGGACCCCGCAGCAAATGTAGCCCCTGTTATGTGGGTAGCAGAGTACGCCCAAAACACTGAGAAATCCCAAAAACAACAACAAAAATAGATAATTACACAAAGAGTAAGAACAAACAATAGGCAATACTACTATTACGAACAGCAGTGATGCGAGTACTAATCGTAGCTAATACCCAAAGCCTTATCCATTGTAAGCGGGAAGGTCCAGTTACCCTCAAACACCTAATCCATGAGCCCTGATCTCATGATGCATAGCTCCGAATTTCAAAAACGTCGCGTCGATGGGGTCTAGGGCGCCCGGAAATTTGCCTAGGGCGCACTGAAAATTTCGCTTCAGAAGGAGAGCTTGAGAAGGAGAGAGGTTTGGAGCTTGATGCAAGGGCCCCGCCCCCCATGCAAGCTGTGGCAGCGCATTTCGGGCGCAAAAAGGCAACGAAAAGACTGCCAAGAAAATCAATTCCTTTGCCCCCTGACCTCTCCACAATTACCGTGACCTTACCAAGAGGATATCGCAGTGCTTGTTCTCTGTATGGGGTGTTGGTACTATTCTTGCCACGTTTGCTCCCCACATCGCTCACTCGTGGTTTCGTGGATGGCAGCGGCAGGTGCCGCATTCGCTCTGTTTGTTTGGTTGCCTCCGCTGACCTGCCGCACCGCTGACGTCGAGGACGAGATAGGTGCAGACATCATTTTTGTTGACAATACGTGGTCGCTTGCCTGAGTGTCACAAACTCTAGACACAGAGGTCCTGACCAGTAGGTGCTGTTTTGGACTGTACTGTAGTTCTGAAGCCCTAGGCCCTAGGGATTTGGCCTTTTGTTGCGCGAAGGTGTTAGCCATGATCCTAGGCTTAAGCTCTTGGGTGCTGCCCTCACCCAGTAACAGTCTATAGTGGGGATAGTAATGTTAAGGTAGAGGGAATCACCCTAAACCCTAAACCCTAAATTGGCGAGTATAGACATGGTGACAAGTCCTGGAGACTGGGAATGCTCCTGGGGGATGCAGAGGATGTCCACAAGTATCCCCAAATCCCCAAACCCTGATGAAACTCTACTGGGACCCCCAAAGTATGTAGAGGAATGATCTTCCTTGGACTACAGTACAGTTTGTGTGTTTCAATTTTTTGGCTTGCTTTTGGTTTGGTGTCTAGATTTTTTGGAGAAGCTCTTGGAGAACACAGAGGCTGCGGCAAAGGGGAGCGCGTTTGCACGCTGGCACTAGCTACGAGGCCATGACGCAGTGCTGGTTAGTCGAGGACAAAGGATTGAACGTGTCAGGGTTCCTGGAGCCATGAGTTTTGGGTTTGGGGTTTAGGGTTCAGAGTTTGGGGTTTAGGTTGAAGCTTGGGGCTTCGGATTTCAAGTTGTTGGACTTAGGACTCGGAATTTCGGTTTTTGGGGCCTCGCAGACAAGCGCAAGACTCACAGATAAGATCATTGAAACCACTTAGCTAAGACTCTCGTAAGTTTTAGCTTTTGGGGCTTTGTTCGTGGTCTGCGTAGGTAGTCGAAGAAAAGCACAGCCAGACATACTAGCACCCAAACATTCACTAAAGGCCTAGCTTCAGGAATGGTAGTTATAGTTCTAAAAGAATCATTGCTGACAGTTGGCAGTGATGTTGGACCCGCTTTAGTGCGTACGACCCCCGCCCCCCCCAAACAATTTTAGGACTCTGAATCAAGAATTGCTTGAGGGGGGCCCAGGAATGGTGATAGTAT